TCTAGGTCTCCCACCAAGTTTCACGAATTTTTTATGTGTAGATTATTTTCTACAAATTTTTTATTGTCGAAACTTTAAAAAATCATAAAAAAACAACACAACTCCAAATTTCGTGAAATTTGTTTTGGAAGCACCTTACTATCTATACAATTGAATGGGACAATAAAATTGAGAAAGGCCCGACAAAATTTTACAAACTCTTCACAAAGGCACTCGGTACCAATGAAGGCGCTTAACAAACAAGACTTAATGTGAGTCTATGTTGAAGAGTTCAATATTATGTGTTTGTAATTCACCATGAAACAACTATTAGGATCAATGAATCATGTTTGGACAACTTGTCATGGTGTTTCAACACATAAAAAACGGCATTTTGGCCCTCGAATTAGTTTGGGTGAATCGTGCCCGATGAGCATCACTTTGGCCTAGATTTCTCGGCCATGTGCACACCTTGGCCGAGAAATCTCGGCCACCTTGGCCGAGAAATGTGTACTCGGCCGAGAAAAATGTGCACTAATGTGCACTCGGCCGAGAAATCTCGGCCAGGTGTGCACCTCGGCCAGTGCACTCGGCCGAGAAGTCTCGGCCAGGTGTGCACCTGGGCTGTGCACTCGGCCGAGAAGTCTCGGCCAGAAGTGCACCTCGGCAGTGCACTCGGCCGAGGAAAAGTGCACTCGGCCGAGAAGTCTCGGCCAGGTGTGCACCTCGGCTGTGCACTCGGCCGAGCAAAAGTGCACTCGGCCGAGAAGTCTCGGCCAGGTGTGCACCTCGGCAGTGCACTCGGCCGAGAAGTCTCGGCCAGGTGTGCACCTCGGCAGTGCACTCGGCCGAGCAAAAGTGCACTCGGCCGAGAAGTCTCGGCCAGGTGTGCACCTCGGCAGTGCACTCGGCCGAGGAAATGTGCACTCGGCCGAGAAGTCTCGGCCAGGTGTGCACCTCGGCTGTGCACTCGGCCGAGCAAAAGTGCACTCCGCCGAGAAGTCTCGGCCAGGTGTGCACCTCGGCTGTGCACTCGGCCGAGCAAAAGTGCACTCGGCCGAGAAGTCTCGGCCAGGTGTGCACACCTCGGCTGTGCACTCGGCCGAGGAAATGTGCACTCCGCCGAGAAGTCTCGGCCATGTGCACACCTCGGCAGTGCACTCGGCCGAGGAAATGTGCACTCGGCCGAGAAGTCTCGGCCATGTGCACACCTCGGCAGTGCACTCGGCCGAGGAAATGTGCACTCGGCCGAGAAGTCTCGGCCATGTGCACACCTCGGCAGTGCACTCGGCCGAGGAAATGTGCACTCGGCCGAGAAGTCTCGGCCATGTGCACACCTCGGCAGTGCACTCGGCCGAGGAAATGTGCACTCGGCCGAGAAGTCTCGGCCATG